AAATATAACGAATTATTCATCTGCTATACTCAATTGTAATCCTTTGATAAGTAAATGAAGGAATATTAAATATTAAATAGGGAAATATGGGAAATATTCGTAGCATATTCTGTATGCGATATGGTAAATAATTAAATACTTGCGCTTACTTTTAGTTTTTGGCTGTGAAATAATAATATTTAATATATTTAATTTCAAAAAAAATTTTAAACAAAATTTATTTATTTTTTAATACAACTCATTTTTGAGTAAGAGAACTTAAAATATTTCAAATATTGATTATATCTTTCACATATAATTAATATTTGAAATATTTCATATAGATCATAATATCTTTCATATTAGAAAGATACACAAACAAGTCTTTCATCCTTTCATTTAATAAATATATTTTTGCCTTAACAAGTAACAATCGTTTAATATAACCTTACTTCATGTTTCACTGATGTGCTGTGAATATTTACTTACCTACATTTCGACTACTAGAAGCGAAATTGGTATAAACATACTAAGAGACTTGACCTTCATATGATTTTATTACTAACTCCTGACTTAACGAACTTGACATCGGCAGTTAAAGCAATTGAGAAAGATAGAAATAATGGTCATAATAATAAGATCAGTTAGGCAAAATCTAATGAATCGAAATAAACAAGCTCTGGAAAGTATAACTAAAATATTCGAGTTCCAGTTCTCTGAAATATACATATCGTTCGTTTGTTCAGTTGCTTGGCATATTATATTATTAGAGTTCTAAGCTGTTATTGTTGTTGCTTTCCGTCTTATTTGTAATATTTAACTTTGTTTTCACAGTTCAAAATTTTTTTATATCCAACAATTGGCACTAAAACATAAAATCACTATAATACCTTAACATGGCACTCCACAATTTTTTATACTTCCCAAAAAGATACTCAAAGATCCCATTATCCTATTTGACTGTCTAAGATCGAACCGGAAAACCACTTTAACGTACTAATGAAGCAAGCAATGTTTATTTTGAAGATATTGGACAGATGTTTTAGGAATTTACGGTTAGCCAGAAGAGGATATATGCCTACTGAACAAAAAAAGTGAAGGAATGATTGGCGGAATAAGTGCATAAGATCAAAAGTTAACTACTCTGAAGAGGATGGAATACACAAACAATTTCTGTTTGTTTTTGAATGTTAATTTCTTTTTTTGCGGAAAGTGAAGCGTCTTATAACGAAACGGCGCATCACTTATATTTGTTATATATATAATGATATATTTAACTAAGATATCAGTACACAATTTTGAATTATATATTTTTGTTTAGTAAAATTATAACTTTTTTAAAAATTAATTTTTATCTAAAAATTAAATTTATGAGTCACACAAATTGTTAGAAGAAGGGATTAATCGATTGATATGTCCATTTATGAGACAGTAACTCACACACACACTATGATGAAACTTCACAAAAAAAAAAGTTATGGGAACATATGCAGGGTGATGTTTTAAGAAAAGTCTAAATAACGGTTTTTCGCAAATAACTCGAAAATAGTACACAGGGCAAAAAAATACGTTGTGATTTTCGAATTTTACAGAAAATTTCCCCATTGGAAATATAGGTCTCGTCTTTGGAAAACAAAACTTTGAATTATTTGTAAGCTAGTGTAATTAGCTGATCAGTTCTCTTTGATTATAGGTAGGCTATGCCACAAGTGTGCTCTTGTTGGAATGAGCCCCTTATAGGTCGAAATTCCTTTTTATGAGACAGTATCCTTACATAACCGCAATTGGATAGTAGCATCTAGCATAATTAGTTCAGTTCTCTTTACTTTGTGGGTGGGCCATATCGTAAGTGTGCTCTTCATGGCATCTTCGATTCGTTTTTTTTAGATATTTCGTACAGCTAGTTTGAGTGTAACTGTTGGGATGTTCACACCTACAGTGTATAGCAAGCTATACCGCAGTACAGTCAAATTCATGAGGATTGCAGTTGCCATTAATGTGTCTGTGACCCACAACGCAGTACAAGTTAATCATTTAATCTCATTCAAATTAATATAATAAATGAAATAAAAGTGAGCGAGTATAACACCATATCTAGAATGGCGTTGCAATAGTTTTTCTCAAACGTAGATCTATGGTGAGTATTATCCATAATAATTGAGAGTCTATTCGAAAGATAATGAAGTAAACATTACAAAATAGCTAAATACTTTTTGAAGAAATTCAAACTGCTCGTTACTTTTGGGCACGGGTCTAACCAATGACTTGTGTTTCATTTTTCTTTTTATGATTGAGTTAATAATATATTTTTATATAAAAAAATTATAGAATTATATTTTAAATTTTTTTAAAAATTATTTTTCATCATTAAATCAAATTTGTGTACATTCGTGGAATTAATAATCTCGAGATTCAAAGGCAATGTGGGAAACGTAAGTGAAGCGTAATAAAAATGTAATAAAATGCTCTGTGAGTTAATGGTTGACTTCCACCCAAACTCCCCAGTCAGTTTTTAACACGCTCAAAGGAAAACTGTGGCAATATTCAAAAATGGTTTTTATTTGTATAAAATGCGAAAAACATGACCACCACGATTTTATGGTATCACAGTTTCTGCCATTTTTCAGCACAGCACAGTGCAACGTTAAGGTCCATCAGTGAAAAATTTCGCAATGATCCAAAAATGCAAAATGAATTCGTTTTTGACGACACGAATTGAACGGAACTCATAGACTCAGGGAGATTCTGGAATAATCAAAAATTATATTTGCAGTTGCAAGGAAAGTGCATAAGGCATCCGAAAATAAGTTGAGGCGTTTTTATGCGAATATTTTCAATTTTTTTGGATCATCTTTGTCTGTAAAAGAGGGAATAAAACTGAAATAGTTTGCTTTTTGCACAAACTGCTTTTGCGATGCTTTAGGCACTTATTTTGACTGTAAATGGCAATGGATTTCCCCTTTTACAGTGTTACAGTGTAAATATTAAAATTAATTTATTTGGTGTGCAATATGCAATTTTTTAAGCTTAAAAGGCTTTTAAAAGGCTTTTTTGCTGACTGACCAAGTGCGAATGAACAACATTAATTAAATTCGGAGCGCTGAGATATTAATTAGTTTTGCTGCGATTGAATATCCGATTTGTATTTCAAGCTGCGAAATTGCATATTACATATATTTGACGTTTTTCGATTAAATTGAAACTTTTTTTAATAATTTTTGAATATATTAATAATATCAAGCTATAAAAAGAGTATACATTTTAAATAAATTTTTAAAATTTTTTATCAAACATACAACATTTAATCACACAATTAAATTTTAGTAACGTTCTTTATGCTTCACAGTGCATAAAAATAGTAGAAATTAAAAATTAAAATATTAAAATGTCAAAAAAAAGAAGAAGAGCAAACAGAGTTTTACTTTTTTGATGGACATCAAAACCAGCAAGTCAGTCTGTCAACACTGCGAGTAAGTATTTATCAAAGTCAAAGTTAATCAAGTGTCAAGGCCAGAAATAACGCTTTTCCTCTAATCACCACCTCTGCACTACTCATGACAGTTGATACTTAAACAACTAATTTATTGATAACGTTAAATTACAAATTAAAGAAATAATTTAAAAATTATATAAAAATTAAATTAAAATTATATTAAATAAGTACAAACAAATAAAAAAGTTCGATTGTTTGAGAAGTTGCAAGGACCGATGAGCAGATATTCTGCCTCATCTCGCAATAAGTGATTCATCAGTTTTAATACTACGTTCTTCGTACGAAAATTCTATAGACAACAGCTTGTCTATAAACAGATCTTTTATCTTTGTGGATGAGTAGTCCAAAAGACTGTCAAAAAATTAATAAATTAATAATAATTAATAAACTGATTCATCAGTTTTAATACTATGTTCTTCGTAAGAAAATTCTATAGACAACAGCTTGTCTATAAACAGATCTTTTATCTTTGTGGATGAGTAGTCCAAAAGACTGTCAAAAAATTAAAAAATTAATAATAATAACTGATAATAATAAACTGATTTATCAGTTTTAATACTACGTTCTTCATAAGAAAATCCTATAGACAACAGCTTGTCTATAAACAGATTTTTTATTTTTCTTGATGAGTCGTCTAAAAGACTGTCAAGAAATTAATAACCCAAACATTAGTTCTTACAATCTTTATCTATCAAAACTAGATAATTGCAAGAAAAATATGTGATTCTCTTCTTATTAAAATTTGCATAATCTTTACAATATTAAATGGAAGGATTGCCTGATTTGTGGGTTTCTCTAAATAAGTTTCTGTAAACTTGTCATTCGAAAGAACTGCTATTGGTCTAGTAACATTGACTTGATGTCTATTAAAATGCTCTCACTTCTCAATCTTATTATACGAATGCCAGGTCGACCAAAAAGTTTCACACGTTTAAACTTTTAGTTAAAAAGAAGTGAAGAAAGTTAGATTTGGCTGAACGTCTTTACTCATGATGTGTTTTCAATTGAAATAAATGCGTCTTTCTTCAATAAAAAAAAAAATTAAATAAAATTTTACTAGTAAGTACTGTGGATATGAGGTTTAATAATTCATCCTAAATAACTGCTGCATAACGCAAATAGGCTATATCTTATAAGGTTTTTGAAAGCAAACTGTCAATATAAGAGATATGTTTCATAAATAAAAAAATAATAATAATATTGTTACTAAAGGATTATACATTTGGTGGTTCCAAAAATTAATCTAAAAAATATTTGCATGTGATTGAGGTTTAAACCAAATTCTTAATGTAATATATTTTTTAGACCTCGTTATTAGGTGTTAAGTACAACACCAGTAAAATATTTTCCACAAGACAATACATTATTGAATCCTTTTGAGGCAACTTCCGATGACTTTCTAACATCTAACCAGCAATAGCTTCGGCTTGAAACCGAATGTATTTGTCCCAAATAGTGAATTCTTGAATAATCAACACGGCATAGAAATTCTTTATTCTATATTAAAATAAAATTTTACAATAAAAACTTTTTCAAGTTAAAAATAAACAGAAGTTCATAGCTGCGTTTCAATATTTTGGTTTCTCGTTCGGATCTCGCACATATTTGAAATTCGGCGATTTCAATGTCAAAATTTAGGAAATTGAGCTTAACTAGATTACATATCAGTCGTCGTTAGTATACCTGTATATTATATTATTCAGAATATGTCGAGTCAGAAAAAGAATATAACATCAAGCAAACTACACAGCAGTGATGAGAAATCCATTAGTAGTAGTTCAACGCTTGAAATTGATATTGATAGAAAAGAAACAATACTTTGCAATGAACCATTATGTCCAAGTCCCCAAATCGACATTGATAGAAAGGATTTAATGAGCGATGAGGATATTGGACGAAGTGCGAACACTACAATAATCAATAAGACTGTCAAGGGTTTGTGTTGTTCCGATGAACAACCATGCTGTTCAAGTAGCGTAAAAAATACTTCCGGAAAATCTGATGCGTGCGCTGAAACTCAACCAGAGGAACCACCAGTTTGGCTCTGTGACATTAAAAATGTACGTTGTGCATTTTGTCGAAATCAGCTGACAAAGAAATGTATCCAGTGTCAGATTCTTAAGAAAAAGGAGAAATGTAAGGTTGCCTGGGGGAAGTGTAGTCATGCCTTTCACTACCACTGTGTTTCCAGATTTCTCAAGGAACGGAGCGTGTGCCCTTTAGATGACACTGTGTGGGAGTATGAGAAAATTGGGAACTCAAAAGTGAAACGTAAATAATGCCGACAAAGCGACTGGTACGTTAAACATTATTTCAACAAATTTTCTATATAATTGTCTTCTTTTGTTTAGATGGTCTTTTACGATCAATTAAGAGCATCAACCTATCTAATTATAAACCTAGCTAACATCCTGTGCAGTTGAGATTCGGAAAAGAAAATATTTTACTACTTTATAGCATTTATTTTATTTTATACACCATCAACTTTTAATCGCCGTGATAATAAAAATAAATTGAATTGCAGTCGTTAAAATATAAATTTTTGACCATTTTTTACAGCAAAACCTATTTAAATAATCTTTCTGATTTTTAAAAAAATAAAAAGTAAATGATAAATGCCAAAAAAAAAATATTTACAAAATTTGCCATTAAATAAAAATCCATTTGCAATTACAGATGTGAGTCCTTCTTGGCCGAGTCCAATAACATCTTCCTGTGAGCTTGACTTCAACACTGGCTTATAATAGCTGGTTGGTAGTGCAGAGTGCTTGCAGATCATTGCTCACATAGTCTATCTACCAAAAATATAGATCCCTTACCGCATGTTCCATCAGTGTATAAGAATTTAAATACTTCTGTAGCATTTTTACCGATTCTGTGTGATGTAATTACGCTAACTAATTTTTACGCTCGACTCTTACATGTTACGAGACTATAGATCTTCTGAAAAATACTCTAAATGCCTTCTCATTACAATTATTTTTCCACGCTTCAGCACTATATAGCAGGACAGGAATGGTAAGAGGATTGTAGAGCGAGATTTTCGTTTGTCGGGAGGAGACTTTATTCTTTATAGCGTTTGCTAGGGTGGCCAACTCCGAGGCTTCCTTCTAACTTGTAACGTTATGTGCTAGTGAGGACGGTTTCGCTGCACACATTAGTTCACTACTCACTGATGATTGTAGTTATCTAGAAGGATCCCGTGGTGGGTATGTGGCGACTTTGAGAGAACAATGACTAGGATCGTTGTGGCATTTATAAATAATTTACATTTATAATCATTTTTAATTCATTACTAAAGAAAATAAATAAAAAATTTTATTATATCAATAATTCCCAACACTTTATAATATTTAAATTATCTCTAACGTTATTGCAAATTAGTAACGAGAGAATATGTATGCCATAACAACTTCACATATTTATGAAGAGAATATATATGTTAGCAAGAAGGAATATGATATAAAACGAATAAAGCGAATATTTTTAAATTTTCGCTTTAATTCTGGATTTACATGGGAGTTTTGTTTGTAATTTTAGCTGTCAATTGTTGTTGCTTTCAATGTAAAATTAAAATTTTTGACAGCTTAAATTACAAACAAAACTCTCGTGTGAATCCAGTATTACAATTCGAAATTATTAGCATAGTATAGACTGCGGGATAAGATAAATATCTGTTCATTAGTACTTCGAACGTCTGAATATTGAGATTGGTAGTGCTATCGCAGGCTCAATTTTCACTACTTTACAATGTCATTTGAAAAGTTTTATGTGCTAATATTTTTATTAACATTTATTTTAAATTCCACTGTATTTCGATTCATTGCACCTGAAGTATATAACATTTACGTTACCATTTGCTATAATCCGTGGTGGAATGTTTGAGGACTTCTTTTCTCTTCCGTGTTATTTCGTCTGCTTTCCGATTTTTATTGCTGATAAATTTTTAGATACGATTTTATTCTAGTGAAGGATATTTTTTTTTTTAATCATAAACGTTCAATGAATTACATTTACGACTCCTTAATAAAGTTCTTTTGCCTCAAAAAAAGATTTCATTTTAGTTTCGTCCACTTAATATTTGTTTTGGTTGTTATTACTGTGGTTATTGTTATTATATTTATCTCTTAATGTAAGCCACTATAAATAGAATAATTTATATTTCACATTATTATAAGTTAAACTCAGTGTAGAAAGGAATTTCTTGGCAGTGGAACGACAATACGTCGAATAGCATTTTAGAGATTAAGTACTAGAAATTTTTCTTTGTAATTAATTGAACTATTTACATAGATTAGATGATTTCGTTAAAAAATAAATTGGTCCCAGTACGGAAATACTGAGATTTGTTTGAAAATTGTATTTACCAAAAATTCCAAATATTTTAGACTTAATATTCTCTACATTGACAATTATATTTAGCTATTATATCAGTCGTGGGAACTCATAATATATCTACCTCGTATAAATTTAAAAAATATCCAAACACATGATATATAATTGTACAACAACAAACATTTTTGTCAAAATATTTACTAACTTATTCATTAACTTTATTTCGTTATATTTTTTACAAACCATTCTAAACAAACACATTATTAATCTAAAATTATATTATAATTCTAAAGGTGATTAATTTCAATATTCGTCGGTAATGTCAAGGGAAGAACGCACTGAGTGTACTACCCATTAGCAAAATTGGCGAGTTTGGGTTAATAGATGAGATAAAACGCATAAAATTAAACTGATTCTGTAGTCTGTTGGCTATGTGAACATCATTTCCCAAATAATTCAGACGGACGAGGTTAAAGCTGTCACTGTTTTCTTGTCTCAGTTCACGAACAAAGTTAATTGATTGACTTCCTATAAATTTCTCCACATCTAAAAAAAAGATATGAGAAACATTAGCTATTAAGTATAGAATATAATATTAAAAATTATAATAAAAATGTTTCAGATATGTATCTCCTTGCAAAGTTCCTATGATGTATACAAATCATAGTAATAACATAATTTTGAGACATTTATTAACCAATAAATGATTCTTCTAATAAATTTTTTTTCAAATAATAATATAAACATTTTTTAATAATACCATTGTAGATGTGATTTAAGTCCATAATTTTTTAATTTCTTCCTTATTTTTTCTCTTTCATAATTTTTCCTCTATTTACTAAAAGTAACAAACTTCATTTCTAAGTAAGATCATCGTTCGTGAAACAATCTACTTTTTTATCATTTACACATCCATTTTACAATTACGAATATATATATTATAACCATTCCATACTCTAAATCAGAACTGTTCAAAGCACAGCCCACGGGTTTCATGTGGCCCGCGGTTAATATTTGTACGGTCCGCAACATTTTTCCAGTCTATTACAATTAGGTCAACCTTTCTTTGTTATATTTTAGTGACATAACATTATTTGAAGTAGGAACCAGCAAAAGAAGAGGGCTACCAAGAAAACGATGGAAAGAAAGTGTGCAGCAGGACATAGAAGTAATACATATAAGAAATTGGAAAAGAAAAGCAAGAAACAGAGAAAAATGGAAAACTGTTCGTAAACAGGATTAGGTCCTACATGGACTGTATAGTCATACATGATGAACATTATTTTATTTTTATGGTATCCTAAATAAATGAATTAAAATATTTTAAATAATTTATTACACTACACGTTAATTTACTTAATTGACAAAGACTTTAGTACATATTTCTTTATACAACTGGTTAAAAAAACTTAAATCCACATAGAATTGTAAAAAATGAATTAATGAAGGATTAATAGAACTAAATTTATCATTATCGCTATATTTTTATTTTTCTTCGAAAAAATTATGAACGTATGTATTAATTTCTGCAGTCCTCCAACCTATTCAGCTATTTGTTTCGGCCCGCGATCTTATCTGGTCTGGACAGCCTTGCTTTAAACTATACAAGTTAGGAACAACATCGATACTGACCCTTATTCTCCTTTCTTCTATCGCAACTTATCAAAACTTGTTGAAAACTAATCTAATACGATAACTTAAATAGGAAATCTATATTAAAAGAAAAATGAACAATACTTTGAAATACAGCGTAGAAAATGTCAGCTGTTTTTATCGTCTAACGCATTACATTGAAATCTCGATCAATTTGCATAAATGCAATTTAAATTATTACTTCATTTTATGAGTTTTTTTAATTACTTAGCATTATTATATATATTATTATTATTTTTTTCCTATATACACTTCCTCTTCGCTTTGACCCCTATACTTCTCAAACAGTTAAAAGTGATGTGATGTTTAAGTGATGTTTAAGATGACTTTGTCTTAAACTCAAATTATTAACGACTTTAAACATTTTTACTTTTCTACTTTATTATTTTCTATTTTTTCTAGCTTTTATTTTTTAAATTGCATACAATTCAACTGCTTAAAATTTGTTTGAGTTTTGATGGTTTTGCTCCACTGTTCGCGAGCATTACTTGATTGTTTACCAAAATCATAAAAAATGTATTTCCTAATCAAGTCATCACTTGAGGTTAAAATGAAAGTCATTGGGCAAATAAACTTTTATTTCTGAAATACTAGAGGAAAAAGATAATGTAATCGAAATAATAAGGAAAAAATGGAAAATAAATGAAAGTTATTATATTTGCGAAATGAATTTCTGTAAATGCCTTTGTCAAATGGTATGTTCACTTCAAGATAAAAGGAATTAAACTCAAAAAAAAAAGTATACGAAAACAGCAAACATTATCTCTGAAATACGAAAGGCATTATTTTGAAAAATTTCGAAAAGGAAATGTAATAAAAACGAATTAAGGAAGTTCCATTAAAAGGAGCTGAGTGGAAGACAATGACTTGGCGACTATTGCAAGTCGAAGGATATGAGACGAAACCTCGCACATATCTGTCACATAGATACTAAATGGATATATGTTGTATTAAACATTGTTGAGTTTAATTAAAAATTATTACAATTAACATTTTTCATAAGATATTTTTGGTAAAATATTTAATTTTAATTAAAACTTTAATTAATTCAAAAAAAGTTTAAAAATATCACGAAAAAGCGATTTTAATCTTCAATGAAAATGCAATTTGACTTGAAATCATTTAAACAAAAAAAGTCCGAATTATTGTAAATGCATACAAACAATATTGTTAATCTTATATATATGGTAGAGTTTAGTTTATTTTTGTGTATTGGTTGCACTGTTAGTAACTTGAGTGTTTACTTTAATGCAGCTACAATGCAGAGTTTGTATTTAACTAGCAAATAAACAAGGTGGACATTAGTTTATTTGGTGATTTTTTGTGTAGAAAAATGTTAAATCAGTGCCATTGTTCAGAAGAGACCGTACTTCTCTTTTGATGGAATCCACCACACCAGATGGATGACATGCTAAAGCTTGCCTCGCTATGTAAATTCTCGGTTGTCTAATTGTATGATCTATTCACATGCAATTTTTCATTTTTATTTCAATTCGTGCTGATTTTTGATTCGTTTGGTTCGGCAGGGGTTCATTTGATATACAATCTGAC